GCTTGTCATCACTGACATGCAGTTATTTTTAGCTTCTCCCTTATTAATTTTTTTTCTTATGAGAGTGTGCATAATATCCCACCTTATAAAATATTAACACCTTCTTCGAAGTATGATATTTACAAAAAAACCCCAGGCAGATTAGCCATGCATACAAACAGCAGAGCAGCAAAAAAACCCCAGAGCATCCTCACCCGGTCAATGAAACACTGCAGGAACCACTTGGTCGTGTAAATCCCTGTAGTCATCTGCTCCTTGTCCTGCAGGGAGACAGCAGAGAGAGGTGTTTCACCAGGCTGGCTGCTGGAGGGTCAAGCAGCTCATAAGGCTTTGGGGAAGGTTGGTTGTTGGTTGGGGTCTGGGTGCAGGATCTGGCTGCAGTTTGTCTCCCAACAAAGCACCTGCTTTAAATACCAATGTCGAAGCCCTGCTTTGGCCCTTTGCCCAAGAGAATTCCTGATGCTCAATGTGGCCAGACTTCAAGCACAATTTTGGAGAGGGATATGTAGGAGAAGCTTTTCTGCCCTAATACTTACCCCAAGGACTTACAAAAACCTTCCAGGATCCCAAACCACTCACTCCTTGCAGACTACCATTTTTGTTTCCAAAGCAATCCCCCTCTCATAGCACAGGCAAGCCAGCTGGGCAAACACCACCTCATTTGTATGGCATGGCTGTGGCAGGACCAGGACAGCCTGACAGGCTAAGGGAAACTCTTACAAACCTTACCATCATCACCTTGGTCTAACACTTTTCCATCCCTGTCTGGTGCCTGCTGCTGGGATGCATGGCACTCTGCATGTGCACAGAGTTGAGGTGACTGCTACTGCAAAGCCAACAAAAAAAGAGGGATGGGAAGACAAAGAAGTCCATGGACTGGCTCCAGCCTTTGGTTTTGGCTGCCACTGAGCACCTGCAAGCCTGGAGAGCCTTTGGGAGCAGAAGGCATGAGCTGCTTGCAGAGTTAATCCCATGCTCCACTCCCCTGCCCATGACTATAATTAAGTGAAAACCTGTCCCGGTTCTGTTTCAATTTTACTGCCAGGGCTGGGTCGTTTGCAGCACAAAGCAAGAGCTGTTGCAGATGATGGCAATGTAAACAGCTTTTCCTAGAGCTGGGAGCCACCAAGCCCCTTGGGAGCATAAGAAAACTTTAGGAACCTGGCACTGGATGTCTACAACAATTGCAAGGAGGTGAAGAAAGGTGAAAGAAAAAGGATGCAGGTGTTGCAAAATAGTTGCCTAGATGTTGGACTGCAATCAGTCTGTACTGCAGATGCTCCTCCAGCCACCAAATGGGCCTGTACCATCTGCAGGAGAGAAAAACAACTGGACCTGCCCAAGCAACAAATCACATAGCAAATCTTCCTTACGTGCCTCCTGTCTTTAAAAGGCACAGTTACTGAATTAAGGGTCCAGAAAGTTCAGCATCAGCCTTTGGGCTTTGCAGCTGGTGCAAGAACACAGTCCAGCCTTACTGCTTTATGCAACAGCTCATTTTGCTGCAGGCTCTGCAAGCCTTCCTGCCTGGCTTTCCTAGGGGAGCCTCTAGATTTTAGCAGTCCCTCCACTAATGATGACCAGCAAGCAAATAATAACCAATTGCCTCAGCAAGATTGGGGCAGACCATTTAATAAATGCTTGCCTCTGCACCTGAAGCAGCCCTACACGGTCAGAAACATGGTCAGCTGTGCATCTGTTTGGCAGAGCATTACACTAACTGCTTTAGCATTAAAACTTGGTATTGTTATAGGAAGACTGATAGCAAAGATACCATGTGCTTCTTCAGTTTGGGAAACAGTTTGCTTAAAATCTGTTCGTGGTGAGCTTGAAACCTCTGCAGCTTCGGAAACCCAGGAATGAAAAAACCTTGACAAGAAAAGATAAGAGAAAAAATAATCAGAAAAGCTCAGGAGCAGTGACAGGGACAGCCTGACTTTCTAGAAACTCATCCCCTGTGTGGTCTGTTGAAGCTGGCTGGACTGCAGCATGCCCAGCTACCTCCTTCCATCTCCCTCCCAGAGACTGCAATTCACCCCATCAACATGGACAACAGCACCCTCAGCCCAGCCCCAGCTGGTCCTCACACAGCCCCAGGGAGCAGACCTACACACCTCCCACTGCCTGAGACTTGGCTTGGCCAAGACCTCTCTGAACACACCTCAGTGCTTACCAAGGTTCAGACAAAAGCTGATGATGTTTGAACACCACAAGCTTGTGCAGTGCCCTGTAATCTAGTAGGACACAGGTTTAAGACTGTCCAGAGTTATGAAGGTCTAAGGCTTAGACCATTAAATAACCCTCTGTGCATAGATTACTGCTAACCATGAGTGAGATGAAAGGATCTTTAATGTGTTTGAAGTAAAATAATACAGCACATTTAATGGAATTACATCCACGTTTAGTGGATGCTCTTGGATGTACTTCTGTGAGACTTCTTATACACTCATAACCTTGAGTTAATTGACTGCCAAGGGCAAGGCACTCTGGAGGGAGGATAGAACTTCTGTTAATTACTGAGCACTAAAGCTCAGTGCCCGTAAAACACATTTCTCCCTGATAAGAACTTGTCTGCCTCCAAGAGTGAAGTTCAGCTCCGCAGTCAGGCTGCACACACAGTTAAGCCTCACCCACTTGAAACAAGCATGTGAGGAGAAATGAGGCTCTCCTAACCAACCCAAACATCCTTCCCTGCACCGGCAGACACCCATCCACACCCCTCCCCAGCCTTACCATGCATGGCATGACGCTGGTTGGTCAGTAGCTGTGCCAGTGCCCAAAATGCATCCTCTTCGTTCAAGTACATCAGCAGGATGGCTGCAATCTGGCTCATCCCTTGGCAGTAGCTCACTTCCTGCAACAGCCAAAAGGAACACACATGCTGCCATGCTGTCAGAGCCTACCATAGTGCTAAAACTGTGGAAGCAGGTCAGGCTACCTGTGCTTCCCTCTCCTCTCTCAAGGTTCTGTCCCATTTCAAAGCCTTTACCATTTATGTCCAAATTCACAGCTCCCAGATGTCTACAGCATCTGCCATGTCACTGACTCACAGAGGAGACTGGGTTGGAATGGACCTTTGAAAATATTATCTATTTTTAACTCCCCTGCCATGGGCAGGGACACATTCCACCAGAGCAGGTTGCTCAAAGTCCTATCCAACCAGGCCTTGGGCACTGCCAGGGATGGGGCATCCACAGCTTTTCTGGGCAACCTGCGCCAGTGCCTCACCACACTCATTGTAAAAAATTGCCTTTCTTCTATCCAATTTAAACCTACTTCTTTCAGTTTAAGTTGCCCCTTGTCCTATCACTACAGGCCCTAGTAAAAAGTCTTTCCATCTTTTTTACAAGCCCATTTTATGTACTGAATGGTCACAATGAGGTCTCCCCAGAGCATTCCCTTCCAGGCTGAACAACCCCAACTCTCACCCTTTCTGCATGAGAGAAGGTTTCTGACCCTCTGACCATTTTTGTGCCCTTCCTCCAGACCTGCTCAAGCAAGTTCTCCAGCAGGAGGTGAGGAGCTTGAAGGCAATATCACCCCACCATGCCACTCCCCTCACCAGTCCTGCTCAAGCCTGCAGGGTGAGGGACAGAAACCCAACATAAGAGGTGCCTGCAGCTACTTCAAGGAAAAGGGGATGGAATGACAAACAGCATGTGGCTGTGATGCTGTTCTGGATTCCTTCAGCCATATGAGCACTGAAGTAATTAAAGAATAAATAAATCTGCTAAGCATTTATCTTGTATGAGGGAGGCTGCTTGACTAATCCTCTGAGCATCTTCTGTGCCTTCTGGAGTAACTGTCCCCACCTGGAGATGCAGGCAGTAGGTTCAGCTGCTAATTTACCCTTATTCTGCCTGTGCCCTTCAGCTAAACATGACTGGTTTGCTGCAATAAATCAGTGTTTTCAACAAGGATGACATGCAGTGTAAGACAAAGTCAGAAACATGATGGACTGCCAGGAGATTAGTGTTGTTGGAAAGCCAAAGGGCAATCCCTTTTTCTTCACTGAGACCTGCCCAAACCCAGTCTGCCAGATATCATTTACCAGGTGACAAAATGACCAAGGGAATGAAACAACTGTGCAAAGAGTCTTGTTTTCCAGACTCTCAAAGAGAGGAATCTTGCAGCTGTCTGTACAAGCCAATATGAGGACTCAAAACTGGAATTACCACTGGCTAAATATGTGTGTGATTATACACACATAAACATGTGTCTCCA